AAAAATGACTCTGATTATCATACCTGTTTTAAACGCATGATAATTCAGATTATTTTTAGTCTTTTAACTGTCAAAGGAAGCACGAAACAAGCGATGTTAAGTTCCACTATTTTTAGATTTAATAATTTCAATCCATAATAATAATAGCTAAACGTGATAGTTTATATTAAATGATACCAAAATGTCGGAACTTCTCAAAAGAGATACAAAAGTGTGTCCTAGTTGACTTTGCAATATTAAACAACATCAGAGGGAACATGCACAACTAAGTGGGAGTTTGCAAAAACAAAAGTATCGCTTTTGAGACATATCCCAAAATGCATCCAGTTTATCGAATAATCGCCTTATTATTATTATCAATTGTATTTATTGTTGGTCTTATTGGTAATGGACTTTTGATAAGTGAGTATTTTTTAATTATTTTTTTGTCTTTTTTTTTTTCATCAACTATTTTCTAAACTATTTTAGTTATTGTCTTTCGACAAAAAAGCTTACGTACCGTACCAAATTTACTTATTGTTTCATTAGCTGTTGGTGATTTTTTATTTGTGCTCTTCTGTGTGCCCTACGGAGCCGTGACTTTTGCTTTTAGTTTTTATCCATTTCAAAATTATTATTGTCAATTTGAGATTTTTATTATTAATATGTCACTTGGTGTTTCAGTATTTTCACTATTAGCATTATCAGCCGATAGATACAAAATAATAACAAATCCGTTCAGGTTAGTGGAAATGAATCCTCATTGCACACTCACGATTTTATAATGACGAAAAGGAAAGTAATGTCAGATTGCGTCTTGTTTAGGTTTAGAGTCAACTGTTTTTAATTGCTTTTTACAGTAGGGTCTGATTTTCACAATTATGATTTTTTTGGAAAAGTTTATTAGATATTTAAATATTCAGATATTCAGACCGTTCCCCAAAAGTGAAAAAAACAAATCGACATACAATCATAACGAAAGAAAAGCAGAAAAGCTTGTTTTTCTAGCATATATTCAAAATGTGTATTGTTCTGAGAAGATAGAAGAGCACCAAAGGTTGGTTTTTTCCACTATAAATTCAAAATTTTGAGGGCAGGTTAAAAGAAATATCTTTTCCTTTTTTTGATTCTGCAAATGAATATGTTTAGGATATATTTTTTTCCTAACACCTGCAGTCTATAACGCTACTGTGGGTGAGAATATACGTATAGAAATGGAAATAATTGAATGAAATTGTTCAAATGTGACTAACTCAAGCGTAATGCTTCTCTTATAAAACCTAGTCAATGTTAAAAAAAATTCTTTTTTATAATTACATTTTTGAAAGATGTTAGTTATGGTAAAGTTTTCTGTTTTTCACAGTTGAAGTACCATTAATGGTATTTCCTGCAAAATAGTCTTCGTAATAGGTAAAAAAACTGAATCAATTTTTTTTGTGACTACGAAACTTGCCTTTATCAACTTTTACTTAAAACTTCTCCCAATTTGTTACTACACTTTACAATCACATGAAACATTGTTACTTACGGGTAAAAGTTCTTTTCTCTTTTCCTACCAAACTATTCAAGTCACTATAATAACAAAGTTGAATCATTGGTCTTTTTAATGTTTCCCTAATATGATGTTGATAATGGAGTAAAAATTCCAAAATCATGTGGTTATTAGTTAATAGGAAAGAAACACATATTTAATCATTTTCTCATGCTTTTATTTGAATCTTTGAGCAAATTATCTCTTAGGAGTTTTACATGTACTTGCTAGGAAAAGAAAAAAGAAAGAAATATTTTGTTTTCAATGACCACCTTCTCTTTCCTTCTTCCTTTCTATAGAACTAGCGAACGAATTTTACGTAAAACTCTAACCTTGATCATCTTATCTTAGAATCTATCCTTCTTCCTTCTTTTCTTTTGACTTTTCCTATTCTCTCTTGCTATAAAGATTTTATCGTATAACTCAATGTGTATGTACTTAAAATTAGTTCAAATAGAACAATGTTGAAGAAAACTGGGCATTCAGATTGATCAACAAGTGATTTTCATCAGTATATTCAATTATTCATTTCTTTAGCAATTATAAAAACAAAAAACACTGATTACCCGTCAAATCAATATAATTTCGTTCATTATAAGTGGTGATTTCTTTTTTTCCATAGGTCACTGATTATGTACATCAAGAAGTGATTAGAAGCGATTTTATTACTCGATAAGATGGGGCTGATCCTAGTTAATTGTCATTATCAAGTTGTGCTGATTTGAAAGAACTATGTAACTTTTTCTATTATTTATTAACTAAAAGAATCATGAGGAAATAAGACTAACTCCATTCGCTAAGTTAATATAAGCACTTTATTTAGTCTCATTTATTTTACTACAGGTAACTTAATCAGACAACGTCAGTTACAACAAAATGTATTATTTTCTTGTTTAATTGTGTTTAAAAGTTCTTTTCTATACGGGCAAAGATGTTTGAAACATGTGACTCAAAAGTATTAAGTAAAAATGATTCTACATAAACTGATGTTTCTTATTCTCTTTGTTGTTTTTCATATATCTGCTTGATACCATCACCAGCAGAGGTGGGCGAGTACACACTCCTTTTCTTTTTAGTTAAACAGGTTTTCATCCGAGTACTCGAGTACGCATTAAAAAAAGTCACGAATACAAGTATCTAAAAATTTGTACTTGAGTCCATCTTTGATCATCGAACTCAACGGCGCATGATATATCAAAAGATACTTCGAATATGGCTTGAAGAAATAACAATCGATTTCCTTCTTTTCTTCTTCATAACAATTCGTTTGAATAAGAAAACAATTTCCCAATACGCCAATTTATCTTTGCCGTCGAAAGACACAGATAAGTCCATATGAAAGCGTTTATTAGACCATATGATATGTCAAAGATGTATGTATATTCAGGGATTTGATGATGAAGAGTGTGATATATTGGTAAAATTGTTCGCGTTTTAGACACTTCCCGAATCCTTGCACTAATGTTAAAACTTGTGTACATACGTAATTCTGTAAGCTATTTTAAATTGTTCAGAGTCAGATTCCCTGGAATATGAACGAAGTCTTTTCAAAATTTATCAAAATTGACTTTTAAATTGAAAAATACAGTTTTTAAAATTTAGTAAAATTTAATTTAAAAGTTCGGTTTAACGAAGTTTGAAAAATCCTTCGTTCTTATTGCAGGAAATCTGATTCTGAACAACTGTCATATCCACACTTTCTCTTGAAAATGTTTCCTTTGAGCGAAATTTGGTTCAAGGTGTTGTGAAAATATTTTCGCTTAGCTAAAAATTAGAGAAATTTTTTAGTTTTAAATTTTTTTGTTAAATTTTGTAGAGGACACTTCGGAGTATATGTTCTGAAGTTTTTTCGGCTTACGGACATTGTTTGGCTGAGAAAAAAATTAGTTACTTAAAAAATGTTGTTAAATTTTTGAGCACGGACTGTTATAAAAAATATTCTAATGAATGAATTGGATTCTAAAACTCTTAAGCTAGCCAGTCTTGTAGCTTGTGAAATTCTCTATCAGATGAGGTATATCGTAAATTCTTTTGTTGAATCCTTATTTTGCAAATGGGACTGTAAGCTAGTAGAGTAGGCTAAATTAAGCTTAATTAGAGCTAATTAGTCTTCAGGACACGTATCTCAAAGTAACCTCTACAAACTGGAAACGTTGGGCGAATCTAAATGGAGGACGCCCTCCTTAAATGCTGACCTCTGACAAGAAGTTCATTCTAGTAGACAATATTCACATGTTCAAAAACAAAAGTGTCTAATAGTGAGACATTTGCAGGATCTTTTTGCCTGCAGACTTCAACGTCTTAAAATACGTCGCTGTTCTAACCATCGTCTCTGCCTAGTTAGAACTGAAGTCACATACATTTTTGTAACTAGTCTTTTCACTTGTTTTCTGCATGCATGGATCACATGCAGGAAGGTTAACAAAGAATTTAATGGATTCTTTCTAAATATTAGCAATCGTATACGTCGCGAGAGTTCGACGAGGCAAAAAAATCGCTCCGTCTCATTGAAAGTTTGCTTTGTGTACTTCAACATTTAATCCTTACATATACATTTTTGAATGCACAGTATACAGTATAGTGATATATCATCAATATCACTTATATTTCATTGTAATTTGAACTGTATTTATAGAAGATAAGATTTCTTCTTTTTTGACAAGAAGCCACATGACAAGAGGAATCTTACACAAATCCATGTTGAAGGATCGTCCAATAAGATTCCATAGAGATCTAATACGAATTTCATAGAATCTGGTAAGATCTTATCCGCTCAACAGAATGTTATTTTAGAAATGTTACAACGCTATTGTAGTCATATATCATATCAGTACCGTTCCTACCACGCTTTTTCCACTTCATATGAACAACATACCTTTGAACACGTGTTTTCGAAAACTAAAATTCTGCTTACTTAAACATATCCGTAAATCCATGGTCGGTAACAAAAATAATGAATGCCACAAACTATAGACCCATATTCATACCAGCAAAACAAAAAAACTGAGTAAAAATCAGTGCCCAACGAGCTAAAAATTAGATCCAATTGGAAACCAGACATTCATTTTTGTTTTTTCGCATTGATTGGATAGTTTCTTGAGACCAAAGTTTCCTTTCTGCCACAACAAAATTCTAGTCCGCTTTCTTTTGGTCATTCAAAGAATTCGTCTTTATCATTATTTGCATCATATTTCTGCTTGCAGAGAAGAACTCCAGACTCAGAATAACTTCCGACTTTGAAATATTGATGTTTTATTTTTTTTTCTTCTCTTCAAACTACTATACAAAAATAAAAAGACACTAAAATTATTTGCATTCATCGAATTAAATTAAAATACAATTTGTTGAGTGATGAAATGAGAAAAATATTTGTATTCCATATTTCACTTCTACATGCACAAGACAAAAAGACTATCACAAGTGTTTATTCATGACAGTGGACAATATACTTTAATGTTGTTGTTGTGTCAACCTTTTACAACGTTTTGGGTTATGTTCTTCGTGGAGGGATTGTCTCTGCAACTGGTCGATTACCTATGCCATTTGCAGATTCATTCCAGTGTTCTTGTGCCGACTCTTGACGTTGCTTTTCTTCTTTACTTAAACTTGAACTACTGCTGGATTTGCTTCCGCCTTGTGACAAATGGTAGTCATCTTCTGGACGCTGTGATGGAACTGGATCTACAACTGGTCGATTACCTATGCCATTTGCAGATTCATTCCAGTGTTCTTGTGCCGACTCTTGTTGTTTCTTTTCTTCTTTACTTGAACTTGAACTACTGCTGGATTTGCTTCCGCCTTGTGACAAATGGTAGTCATCTTCTGGACGCTGTGATGGAACTGGATCTACAACTGGTCGGGTAGATGGAACTGGATCTACAACTGGTCGATTACCTATGCCATTTGCAGATTCACTCCAGTGTTCTTGTGCCGACTCTTGTCGTTGCTTTTCTTCTTTACTTAAACTTGAACTACTGCTGGATTTGCTTCCGCCTTGTGACAAATGGTAGTCACCTTCTGGACGCTCTGATGGGACTGGATCTACAACTGGTCGATTATCGGACTTCAAGCCAATTGATGGATTCACTTGGAGAGCGGGACTGCCATTTGCAGATTCACTCCAGTGTTCTTGTGCCGACTGTTGTTGTTGCTTTTCTTCTTTACTTGAACTTGAACTACTGCTGGATTTGCTTCCGCCTTGTGACAAATGGTAGTCACCTTCTGGACGCTGTGATGGTAGAGCACCGAAGCCACTAGTAATAACTCTATCTGGTTTTTTGTCTACGCCAAGGACTAATCCTTGCTGTTGATTTTTGTCTACGCCAGCAACTAATCCTTGCTGCCCTACTGCTACTTGTTGTAGTTGAGTAAGTGAACCAGCATTACCACTGTAAGCGAAATTAGATCCTTGATATGCGAATGGTAAAATCTCAATTTGGCCAAAATTTCCATTGCCCGTTACGGATAATTTCCAGTCACCGGTGTCTACTGGTGCAACTTCATCTAATCGTACGGTGTTATTGAGTTTAGCTAAAAGAAGACACTCACACTTCTAGTCAACATTCTCCCACTCTCTCTCTTTTCTCCCTTACCTGGATCCGTTAGAATGACGGGTAAAACAATATTAACATTGAGGCCCTTTGTAATATCGACCGATCCACCACTTTCGAACAATGTCTGCTCTTTGCAATTTTTGATGATGGCTTCTGCTTGATATTGTTTGTAACTGGAAAATAATTTCTGGTCGACTTCGATACGATATGACTGAGGTAATTTGGCATCGAGACGAATCTGTATTTGTTGAAGGACTGTTTGGCGTTGACCACGTTCAAAGATAATAACATAAACGTCGAAGTCGCCATGAATGGCGTCGATTGGACGCAATGACGTTATTTCACCTGTAAGAATTGTAGGCAAATCGACAATCAAATTAACGTTCCATTCACCACCAGCCGACAATTGTAACAATGCTGCTCGAGGCATTCTCAGTACAATCTTCTCACGATACAATATTTCGGCTCTCAAATAGAGTGGTCGCTGTTGCTGGATGAGAATTGAGTCGACAGTCATCTCGAACTCATAGAGACGATTTAATGTTGTTTGTAAATACACTTCTGACAATATCACTGGCTTAAGGAGATCTGGTTGATCGGTAATGTAAAGATGAATAACGGATTCGAGTGGTAACATGAGTGTACCAGTAGATGACACGACTTGACCTCGAATAGGTATTTGTGGTGTTTTACTCAATGTGATGACGACAGTGGCTTCATTTCGCGGTGAAAAAGCGTATGCCTGCTGAACTGGAATCACATCACGACCATTGCGAACATAACGAACCTAAAGTAGAAGATAGTCGATCGAACTGTTCACTGGCACTCATTCCGACTTACCAAGAAGTAATAGACGCTTGTAATATCAATTTTGGCCAGATCTAATTTCATCGAAAACCCGATGGGTAACTCTTTCCCACTGATATCAATACGCTGCTCCTGGATGATGGTTGGAAATTGTAGCGAAGGTGTACTGGATAATTGGATGATTAATTCAGAACTTTCATGTGGTGGACTAATGGTAATCTTTTGCAAATCAACAATATAAACTAAGCCATTAACAACTTGGACTAGAATAGAAAAGATAAAAGGTCTTTATCACGCTTCTTTTTTCTCGAGACGAAGAGTCCACTTGAACTCTCTTCTTCTTCAAAAGTATCAGATATACAGTCGTTCGCGAGAGACAACTGAAAACTTCTTTTGTGAGAAGAGCTGCTGTGCAAATAGCATGTGACGTATGAGAATCCTCAAAGGTTCGAAAGTTCTTGATTAACTTGTGCACACAGATCTAACATATGTTGAGAGAAAAGAACGCACCTTTCTTGACAATAGTGACAGGGATACGAATGTCAGTAATGATGCCGTTTCGATTCAGAACATCAATAGTTCCAGCTGGTTGATATTCTAATTCATCACGTTGGTTTTTGATGGCTGCCTGCAACTGATATATACGATCTGGAAAGAGTAGACTGAAATCGAGTTCAACTTCAAATCGAACTGGGAAATCTTTTTCCAAATGAACTCTCCATATTTGGACGATTTGCTTTGGTCTACTGCTATCGATAAGATACAACTCAACGTGTGATGATGAGGACCATTGTGCTGGTCTCACGTCTAGATCGTAGATTGTTCCACTAATCAAATTCAACGATATAATGGGTAACTCGATGACGAGTGGTGGTGGTTGATTTTGGGATATAACAAGTGTTTTTGAGAGATGCGTGACCATGTCTAAACGAAGAAACAGAGAGATGTTTCTCATTCAAGTGTAATTCACCTGGATCACTTACCATTCAATTCGATTCTAACAACTAAGTAATAGTTGTGGCCTTGTTCGATTGCTGTTGCTGGAATTCGAATGGTGAAGTTACGAAAAGATTCGATGTCCCTGATTATTAACGATGCAATTGGTTTTGTTGATGTTTCGGGGCTATCAGTGACGAATATTTTTGCACTACTGCCTCTCATAAAACGCAATTGATGAGTGGATGACGTTACGATCAAACATTTAACAAAATACACTACAACATAAAACAGAGAAGAGAAGTGAAATCAGACAGACACATGGCTGAAACGACTTACATAAATCATCAACTGGAACATAGATACGAGGGGAGTACATAGGAACATCAACCAATAGCGACACGGGCTCTAAACTTGCCATGTACAAATCATTTCTTTCTGAAAGAATTAATGCGCGAATATCATAGTTTCTGGTTTGATCGAATCGATAAGCTTCTGAGATGTTAATTTGGAAATTTTGTGGTAAAATGTTGATATCGGGCAATTTGTAGATAATATCTGGTGTTTTTGAGCCGATTTCATGTACACGAATGATCAGCGATGAATGTGGTTGAAGGCGATAATTACTTGGCCTTGGCATTGAACGTTGAACAACTAAACAAATAATGGGCTTCATCCAACGGAATGAAATCTCACTCTCGGAAACTTACCACCAGAAAGAATGAAAGGATTTGGGATAACGGTGAAAACAAGTTGTGGTGTGACTAAGATCTGTTGTTCATTGATTATCCATATTGGTTCTTGTTGAATCAAACGTTGTTGACCATTTTCATTGATGTAGCCGATCGCATAGTATTTGACGCCCAACTTCAATGACTGATAGCTAACGGTCATTAAAAATGCGACGGGATACTTTGTCGTTGGGTTTGTGATTGTCAGTTCAGCAACGGAGACATCTTGACTTTGTCGAAACGATGGAAGCCACGAGTTTTCGGGAACAACTTTTATGTGAAATGTTGTGCCGGGTGTTATATCACTTGGGGAAAAACGAACTTTGATCAAACCATTGATACGAATACCTAGAAGAGAAGAGAAATGATCAGAAACAAGAGTCTTCTTTCAGATAAAGCCCTGATCGTGAAAGGAAGACAAATATGGCATTTACCGCTCATTTGGACGAAAATGTCTAATCGTTGTGAGAGGAGATTTGTATTTTGTAACAATATTTGACTGCTGCCAGCTGGTATGAATGTTTCGGCATTGTTTTCATTGACGATGTAGACAAAGAAATACAAGACGATATCGCTCTTTTGTTCACTGACTCGATGGTCATACGGTAATCGTACATCGATGTCGAATGGAACGGGAAAATACTTGTTTGACCATTCAATCTCAAATTTGTCGAATGCTTGTTTTGGCTCCAACGTTTTTGTTGTTGAGACATACAATGTGATTTGACTTCCTCGTGCAATGATTTCTCTCGTAATATCGAAGTTCTGAGTCGACTGAATCAATGACGGATGTAGCAGTGAGCCTGATTGTGAATTCCAACCATATTGTTCATATTGGACTGATGCGATCGAGCTTTGTTGGAGCTTTTTCAGTAAAATATTTCCGGAAATATGAACGAAGTTGGTTTTATCAGGATTTAAAGTTGTAAGTACTGGTGGACGAGTTGTAAGTACTGGTGGAAGAGTTGTAGGTACTGTTGGACGTGTAGAGCCATCACCATGTGACTGTTGATCCAAATTCCAGTGTGACTCTTCATTCTGTTTTTGCTCTTGTTCGTGTTTCTCTGAACTGCTGCTACTTGAACTATGACTTCCATCTGCATGAAAACTATTGCTATTAGGAAGTGGAATCAATGGACTGTCGATACCGTTTTTAGACATCGTATCTACTGGTCGATCTTTATCTACTGATTGATCTTTGTCTACTGGTCGATCAGTATCTGCCGGTCGTTTACTATCATTTGGTGGTAATTTATCATCTTTTGATTGAGAATCTTTTCCATCTGATGGCGAGAAACCCGAATCAGCGGTCTGTTGTTTTTCATCATCTCTGTTACCTTGACCAAAAATCGATGTTGTTGTTATTGCTAACAACAAAATCAGTATGTGCAACTTCATTTCAGTATATGTCCTGAAAAAGGGTGATCCATGTTAGAAGAAACAAGTCAGAGTAGAGACAAATTCTTACCGTACCGATGTGTGAATTCTTTTTTGTGACTTTATTTAGCAAGACTTTTAATGTGGATAGTCTTTCTTGAGAAATGCTTAGCCCAGCGCCTATTTATATATTGGAGAGAAAGAAAGAAGTATATTCACAACTGACGAAAAAATATGAGAAAGTCACTGTCGTCTTTGTTCGATTACATTCGTGTCGTATACAGTTGTATCCACTATCGAATGTCTTTTCTTTGTTCAATTGACTACATGACTGAATTCATGTGTTACAAAGAAAATATTGTAAAGTAGATAAAGTTTCACTAGCTGACACAGCCGATGTACTGTCCAGACGCTAGACTCATGGGCAGAAGTGTTTCTTTCTATGTAGAACACAAGATAGAAGATTGATTAATTCGTGCTGAACCATTAATAAGCAAGAACTGCTATTGTTCCTGTGACTTTTGTACATTTCTGTTCATGAAATAGATCGGCGAAGGATTTAGAGCAGTTTAGTTTACTTGAAGAAGTTTCCTTACAATGAGAAAAACTTTTCGGAATGGCTATTGACACGCCCAGGCGTGTCAACAAGAAGCTGTTGACACTCGCTGAGCGTGTCAACAATTGACAGTCCCTTGACGTGTCTGTGAAGACATAATGCCTCGTTTCTGACACTAATCCCAACTAGTGCAGAAGTCAAAAGTTGAATTCAACTATTAATAGTTGAGAAATTATTTCAATTACTGAACTCTTGAACTATTCAATTATTCAACTATTCATTCAACTCTTCACTTCTGAAAATGAATAAAATAGAAACTATTCGATTTTTCAGGTATTCAGTTGAAAAAAACGTTCCATACTTATCCAGTTTTGCCTTGGAGGTAATTAATTTTCCACTGCAACACGAATGAGGCAGGAGGTTGGGGCGGAAGGGGGGGTAGAGGAGAGGTGATGAGAGTGAATGTGGAACTCAATTAACATTTGAATAATTAAATAGTTGAATTGAACTTTTGACTTCTACGCTACTCAACTAGTAATATTTATTAATATTATATATATAATATTTATATTAATATTTATTTTTAAAGAAAAACTGTACAGTGAAAAAGTAGTGAAGAGAAAAGAGGGATCGCTTTCGAATTGTTTTCCAAAGTCTCGAAGGGAAGCTCTCTAGAAACGGTGAAGTACTAAAGATAAATCATGTCATTAAAGAAGAAAATATCTGTCGGAAAAAGAACGTTAATCTACGCGGACAGGTATATTTTTTGATAAAAGTAAAATATAGTTATGAACAGAGAAGACTATATAAATATCATTTTCTATGAAAGATAAATTTGCAGGCTCATGTTTACGAAATGGGTATAAAAGAAAATGACAGAAAAAAGCAAAATATTATTTATTTATTTATACTCAGTTTGTCTGAGAAAATGGATAAAACTACTTGCTTTGAACCTCAAGGAAAATATTTAGAAGATTTTTTATCTTAGCTTCTTATTGACACGTCCAGGGAGTGGCAATAGCTTCTTGTTGACACTCCTGGGAGGGTCAATAGACTCATCCAAAACTTTTTCATTTCATTTGAAATTTTAATGAAAGTTTCAGCAAACATTTATGGTACCAAATGATGTTCACGAAATAGTTTTCGAGTCGTTATCGTGAACCGTTCCCGAAATTGAAAAAAATAAGGGATAAAATGCATGATGCCGATATTTTCAGAGTGCCAGTTAGGAATGGTGAGATGGTTCTAAATAAATGGAAAGACACAGTTTCATTGAATGCAAGGAGTGGATTTTTTTTCCATATTTTATTGGATTCAAGAGTTAAAAATTGTGGAAATTTCTGAAAAGCGCTTAAATAATTTTAATTTTCGAGGAAACTATAGACCCCAATTGAGAAATATACGCCAACATTTGATGCAGTTTTTTTCTTTTTCGAATGAAAAAGAATCGTTTTAGTGTGTTTGTAAACATATTGAGGGCAAAACTGACAATCATTAGTTTGCGTTAAATCAATAAAGCTCTGTTGACCGAATTATTGAAACAGTTCAAACGTACACCGGGAAAGAAGGGTGTTTTCAGAAACCGTAATGCTGCATGAACCCAGGTTAAACCTTTTACCCCTAAATAAAAAAAGGTTTACAAAAGTTATTAAACCTTAGAATTTAGTAGGCAGAGGTATTTTTAAAGTAAAAAGGTATTAAAGTAAAAGGTATGTAAAGTAAAAAGGTAAACAGAAAGAGTTTATTACCATGTTTAATAAGCCTCAAAAGTTTATTTATTATTTATTCTACCCATACAACGCATCCAGCTGTGAGATACTTTTCAATGATAAAATCCAGTATGCCCCTAACAAAATCTGTTTTGTACCTTTCTATTATAATTGTTTTTCTGAAAATTCTATAATCGAATGCCAATTGCTATGATGGTTTCGTTCACATATCACACAAAGCAAATTTTAGTCGCCCTTTCCTAATGTAATGCGGCTGATAAGTAGATGTTTTCGAACTATGCATTGATATGAATCATTCTTCGTCCTTTAACATTTTAAAAGTTTTGTTTTCTGATTATATAACCGGATGAGGAGACAAGAATGATTTGCGCTTCTCACATCTTGAAAAAGACACGTCCAATACTTTGGACTAAAACAATCAGTAGTCGAACGAAGTTCGCTGTTAAACACTGGCACCTTTCTTCGCTGTTTTAGATAAGATCACCTTAACGTTCTGTCCAGTTGAAGCATAAGAAAAATAACAGAACAAAGGTGGCAGTGTTCAACAGGACCGAACGTTACAATTAAAAAATAGAATGTAACTTACACATGCAAAAGTTGGTTTTTTAGCCGGTGCTTAAACAAACTGATTATTGTCGAAGCCACAACTTCATCAGATAATGGTATACAATGGAAAAACGATTACAGTGTCGTATATGTACAAAATTGTTAGCGGCATGTACTTCTTTCATATGATTCAAGTCGACAGAGCGCCGATTTGTATTATATTTGATTAAATTCATAGATAATAGGACAGAAAGATTGGCTAGAATTTAAAAGTAAATAAATTATCAAAATGCAGTTATGACAGCGCTTTTAACAATATACATGATCGCAGGATACATGCCTGAAATTAGGTCCATACTGTTATTCCGCCTTGTTAGTTTAAATACATTCCTCAGTTGGTAAAGTGCACTTATTAAGTTGTTTATAGATTCTAATTTCATGGTACGTACAATAACGAATTCGCTGATAGAGTTCAACTTCATCATATGATGAAGAAAATCATCCATGGTCCTATGGATGTACGCTTCTTCGTGCCCAAAAGTTTACGATTTAGAAATATTTTTGACTATTTTTATACAACTCTCTACGATGATGGAATCCACAGAGACATTCTGAAGAGAGCCACAAGAAACTAAAAATCAATATCGTTTTTGTTCAACTTTTCGATAATGCTCTCAGCATTTCAGATGATAAAACAGAATAGTGATACATTTAATAAATTATCTACAAAATATCCGGCAGAATTTTTACACATAAAAGGAGTGAATGTTTAAAATAATTAATCTGTAGTTATTACATATATCCAAGTAAGAGTTAATATATTATACTCATTTGACTTGAAAATTCTGTTATAACATATCAAATAAAACTCTTACTTTATAGTCATGCGCAGCATCATCAACAATGTATCGGTTCCGCGGGAGAGGAAAATTACATAATTTCGCCAGTTTTACACTCAAATAATTTAGTGATGGAAAATTGTCAAATATAACTAGAAGATCCTACGAAAAAAGATAAACCTTAACATCATTCATTATTGATAGTTATACTAGTTTACCTTATAATTAAAAACGTCAATTGATAAATGTTGAATAGAATAATTTTTTGATATAAAAGCATATGAATCGAGAAAAACGCCAGTATATTTGTTTGATAAAACAGTCCGTTTTCTTAATGATTTCTTTTTTGATTTGAATATCCCAAGCGTCAAAAAAAAATCTAATATCGCACGATTCATCTAGATTACTAGACTTTTACTCGATTGCAACTACTGTGTAGCGACAGTGGAAATCAAGTAATCGGGCGATTACTAGATTTTTTCTAGTTGCAACTATCGATTTATCGCCCGATAATCGATCGATTTAACTATTGCTAGATGTACATGCAGGCACATCTAGTTAAAAGTCCCTTTCCCAACTAGTAATCTAGATGGCAACTAGTCGTGTATCGTCCGATTATAGACGAAATGTATCTAGATTTTTCCCATATGTGATGTTTGCTTGGGTAGTACGTATTCAAATAGACTGATGTGGAAGTGCATCCGCCGCTGTGATCACAGAGCTCTAGTTCTTGCCTTTACCTAGAAGCAAATTGCTGCCGCAAAAGTAGAAACATTAACTTTTATTATAGGTTTTACTTGTTGCAAACAGGTTTGCATATCTTAGTTCCTTAGATGCAGCAAATAGAAGTGATAAAACTACCCGTAGACGTGCACTTATCCTGTGTAATCCAAGATGGCACAAAAGTTTGCGTCTCAATGTTTTCAAAAAACATAGAAACTGCCTAGGGTAAAAACCCAAGGCAAAGACAGCTGATTTTGGGATTATTCCGATTTTTCTCGATTTCACCAACTGAAAAGCCATTAGGAATGACTGAAAGTCATTGGAAATCACAAAAAATGACAGAGGATCACTGAAAATGAATTGATTTTGGTGATTTTCGACTGATTTTAAGCAGCTGTTTCCCCCTTGTATATGAGGAAAAGAGTGCAAATAGCATTGCCATTCGGATTTGATCAATTGACAAATTGCTGAATTTTTTTTTATTTATAAAGGGATGGTGATTTTTTGTCACTTGTCAATTTGCGATAAAAGCACTATTTAACGGAAATGCAGCAAACAGCATTGTCATTTTGTTTTCATCCTAGACATGGTCAGTATATCTAAACCAATAATCTAAAGCTAAAAGCCAGTAATGGTTTTTTAAGTATAAGGCCTTGTTCACGCTACTGATCTCAATTAACTTTACAACCAATCAGCATCCTTAATTCAAAGTTCCGTCAAGTCATGTTTTTGTGATGTCTTAAGTTTTTATCGACCAATCAGATTCGTTAATGCTCTTTAACTTTTGCAGTGTGAACAAGCCTTAAGAACACGAGAAATTTTTTCTCTTTTAATTTCATCGTGAGAATTGAACTAAATTCTTTGAATAAAGTACTTGATTAACCCAATATTTTGCTTTAATCAATTAATTTATGTAGTTATAAATATGAATAAAATTAAATTTTATTCCATACTTTAATCGCAGAGTCTCAACCAACGACATGAAAGGACATACATCTAGTTTATATGTATATTTTATATTTAGTATCCTCTGCAGACTTGACAAACTTTCCTGTTCTGGAAATCCAACGGCCTGTACAGACTTACGGATACCTGTATCGTGAAACTGGCAGATCTGCGAGAGATTTTACCTGCATGCTGCTGCTGATTTTTTTACAAGGTAACACTACATCAAACAGAAGAAGAAAACAGTATTTGTTGGTTTAGTCCTAATATTTCGTTTTTTGACACCACGACGAAAAGTCTCGTTTTCGTTTTATTAAGTAAATTATCAAGGTTTTACTAAATGAAATAGTTTATATAAAAATTCATTAATAAAACATCGCAAATGAAAAACGGTAACAAATCTTAAATTATCAAAAACTTTGTAGCTAGAGCTAAGTGATCTGACGGATATTCATAGGAAGGTAAACCATTAACTCCAATTTCAGTTTTGCTTGGAATTGATAAGTAAGATAATGGATGAAAACCCTGTGGATTATAGAAAATATAATCAATAGTATGACATGATTCTTTTTCATCATTTTCGTTGTATCCCGGTCTAAATTTGAATGTTGTAAACTCTGGTTCATGATCTAATAATGTGTTATATGCACTTAATAATCCAGTGGATAATATTTGATTATAAAATGGTTCAATTGGCTCGCCGTTGAAGTCACCCAAAAGAAGAATGTGTGAATGTTTTGAATAATGTTCATTAATAAATTGACAGATGACATTTGTTTGTTCTGAACGATCTTTAGCAAACGGCTGTTTAGATTTAAGATGAGTTCCAAGAAGAACAATAAATGTCTGAGATGGAATATGTTCTAGCTCAAGACAAGCAACCATCTAAAACAAAATAAAATAGATAGCATTAAGAGAAAAGTCATCTTTTTACATCAGTTTTCACCTGTTTTCCTTGCCGTCCGTTATTTGGGAGTTCGAATGAATGTGATGCTATCTCCTTGAATATTTCTTTTTTATATATCAGTAATACACCATCTGGACCTTTGAAGTTATCGCTATCATCTTTGAAGTTAGCAGTAGGAGAGGTTGTTTTAGGCGTGAAATAGCTGCAGTAACTAGAAGTAGAAATAAAACATATACTTCAGCCATGATGTATACGCAGTTTCTTTGTTAAGGGGTATTCCCGTCAAAACGCCATTTTTCGTCCAAAATATCGATTTTGAAATTTATACCTAGTTGAATAGTCCATCGTGTTTACGTCCAGTATCTATATCGTTTTCTGCTTTACAAAAAACTTTTCGTCGTTTCAGAGAGACACTTCGAAAGATGAAATTTTTGAATTTTAGTTTTTTCCACGATACTTATGCGACTGAACTATTTTCTAAACGTCAAGTTTGCAGAGCAATCTTCTATAGTCAAAATGAGACATTCACAATTCTGTGTGAGCTTCTGTTAAAAAATTTTACAAGCATTTTCCAGCAAGCCTTAAAGTACACTAACAAATGCAAAGCGTTTTTCTCGAGGCTATTTTTTGGCTTTTGACTGTTGATGCGGTAAAGATTTCTTGGCCATTTTAAAATGACTCGCGATCGTCTCAAAATGTAGCTACTTGGTACGATAACTTGAAAGGGCCGAATTTTTGATTTTCAATCTAGTTTTTGAGGAAAATGAAGGCTTTTGAGAAGTTGATCGAAACATTTTCCACATTTTTTCATAAAAGCTTGAGACAAACTAAACAACCTTGAAAAATCTGGCACTGTTAAATTATAGTGCCATGTCTTCGCTAAGTTTTGAGATCACCAAGGGCCTTTTAAAAATGCGACCCGCTTTCGACACATGGTCCTTAAAGTATTCTGTCTTTAATAAAATGGCAGGTTGATGTTGTCTTACTTATATTTAAGCAATTCTTCCTTTAGAAATGATTCGTAAATGTCCATTTCTTCTAAACTACACAAATCTGGTTTGTGCACTAATATTTGTTCAAGAATATGCCATTTTCTTTTCTCATAATTGATGACATCTTTATTCACACGAACAAAATTCCTATCTGGATTTGACAAACCTAATTATGAAAATTATGTTTTACGGTTGCTATTAATGAAGAAAAAATGATGTAATGAAACGACGTCCTTTTTTAAATTGTACATTCGATCGAAGAATTTCATTTAAACAACGTATATTTTCCACTCTGCTCAAAAATAGAGGACAGAAAAAAATTTCATTTTGGTTGAACGTGCTTCAAGAACACTCCTCAAAACGACTACAACCTTGTGCCAAAATATTCCATTGCATAACATTAATAACACGATCGTTGTTCACAGGTGATAATTCATTTTTCGATTTTGTTTGAAATTCACGATGTAAACTAGATTTTCTCAGATTCTGACGAATCCTAGAATAATAACGAATATGAGACTATAGACAACTCAGAAAAGAAACTGATAGTAACAAAACGAAAATTTATTTTACACTGACTCTTCAAGCTCTGTAGTTGTCATATTGCTCAGTTGTGTTCTGATGGAAAATGTTGAAGGTGTCCAATATTTAATTCTCAATATGATTTTTGCACGACTAAAACATACGACACCTGATACGATAACAGAATGAGTTAAACAGAAAAAGAGAAAATGAACTTTCGCATAACTTGTAGTTAAAGTAACCATCATGTGAATTTTCACGCACGTGAGCAAAAACCATCTCACTCCTCTCTATAAGCTAATTCTAAGAGCATAGTCAAGAATTAGAAATAAGAAGATAGTACGGGCTGAATCCGTTCAAAAAAACGCTTTCCGCTTATGAGCTAAAAGTAAACCTGTAAAGAAAATGTTTGATCATTCTCAAAAAATTTAAGCAGATTCATTTGATAATTCAAAAGCTTTTAGTGATGACAAACTCATATTAACAAATGTCTCGAGAAATTCGTAAGGTAAAGACAAATATCGTTTTTTTACACCTTCAAAACGCCGTTTTGATGGACGACACATCAAAAAGTACCGGAATTGAATACGCACGACTCGTGGAAAAGTCATTTTGCTTTTTTCAAATCCAAAAAGAAATCTGTGAGATGTTCAATTCATTCTTTCCTTCGTGCTGTGCTAACTTTCATGGACCCGTTTCGCCTATTTCATCTTTTTACTCGGGCATATCACCGATAAAAACAAATTAAAGTTTGTTTAGAGTTAAAGCAAAGTGCTTTTTCGTATTCAGCACACTTGAGCACCTGGAAAATTTTCTATTTTTAGCGAGGGGTACCGCCAAAAAGTTATGAAAAATTTTTAAAATTGTTTAATTTTACCATGGGGATTTTTCGGCGTCAATTTGTTCGAAAATTTTTCTTAGCTTTTTGGCGGTACTCCTTGCTAAAAATAGAAAATTTTCCAGGTTCTCAAGTCTCTGAATACGAAAAAGCATTTTTCTTTAACTCTAAATGAACTTTAATTTTTTGTCGGTGATATGCACATACTTTTGAGTGTGTTAAAATAGCTGTTGATCGATCTTGTGCTGATTTCGACCGAATGAAGGTTGTTATCTATTTGTATTTGCTGTACGGTTCTCATCCTGATTTAATATTTGTATGCGGGTTCAAATAGCAACCTTATAAACGACTGCATTGGTATAAGTTTCGATTTAGCGAAAGCTTTCGACACTATATCTCATCAAACTCTTCAGATAAAATTAAAATCTGTGGAAATAGATGGCCTATTGCTAGACTGGTTTACATCTTCTTTCGAAAATCAATTTCAAAAAGTGAACAGACGTGGTGATTTTCCTATAAAATCGTATAACATCAGACGTTCAATCCATGGGAGTCTTCTTTTTCTTATTTTCATAAATAACTTGACGCAAACAACAACATCTGAAATAATATATGGTCTCTTTCTTAACAATCTGTTCTTTATTTACTGCTTCGAAAAAAAATCCTTTGCTAACAAACGCACTAGTCCACGCTGGAACTGATAGGACTGCACAACGGTGTGAAAGTAATCTTACATCATTCGATCCACAAAAATATTCATGGACTTATTTTTTCTTCTTCTTTTGACTCACCAGATATTTTCACTCTTGTAATCAATGGTGAATGAAGAAAAGTTAGACTATGATGAGGTACCAAAACTATCAGATATGTATCTTTATAACGATCTTATTTGCAAAACGCATATCTATTAAACTGCTACTGCATGTAGAAAATGCTCGGTGCGTTAAATCATGCTTTTTATTATGTGTCATCCTTCTAAATCGTATATTTCAAAAATGGAATGGTGTTGCGCCGTCTGTGATACTAGTTATCACTCATTTTGTGAACAGTTCAGAGATTGACCACACGCATCATAATAAAGAGCTTTCAGTATCAAGCCGATAGCAAATTTTCTTCAAATGCTAAACTTAAAGTCATTGCCTCTATTTTCGTCTAGTTAAGTTTATCACACTTACGATAATCTTTCGATACTAAATTCTCCCGAACTTATTGTTAATTGGTTGCTCACCACGTTTAAATCATTCTAATACTGTTCCTTTTACATCTCCTGAATATGTTTAATTATTTTTTTATTATTTCACTACGTCATAGAACTGGTTTAATATCTTCTAGCAAACAAAACACTATTTCATGAACATTTCAATTGTGAAAATGTTTAAAACCAATTTAAAACTATAACTCTCCATAGCTTTAGTTTCATATTTTTCTAAAAAATCAAAGCATTCTGAGGGGGAAATCCCTTCCCCTCGTAATTGAAAGCTATGAAACTACCACTACGAGCTTAATCACGATTAACATTGATGATCAACGATTAGTAATTGTTTTCGTATATTCGATTGCTGCTAAACCTCCGTAAGTCCTTATCCACGCTCCATTATCACGATGACTTTCTATTACACTGGCTATACGTTCATCTCTCATGTCGTCAAAGTCGCAAGTTTGGATGATTAACCGCGATTTCGGCAAAAAATCATCAGTTAATCATGATTAATTGACGAGTTTTTGAATATTGGCGACTAATCGCAATGAAAATAGTAAAAATACCAAACAACTATTTTGAATAAAAGACTTTTACATCATATTCTTTTGACTTTAGTAGCTCTGATTGATTCAGCGAGTGCTGAAGCAGATGCTTTTCATTTTCTTTCTCCGAAAAAGCTCGTTATTCTTTTCTACGAGATTTTTGTGTGTGTATCCCGGGAGGTGTTTTCTTTTGCTCTGTGTGACCTTTCTTATTTCTTTTTTGTTTTACATAATAATCACCATAAAGTGACGAAAAATTTTATATGTGAATCAAAAGTAACCACAAGTGAGAAAAAAGAAAAGATTAGGTAAGATTCGAACCGGTCTGTCGTTCCCAGGAGAAAAATCTTGAATGCAGATCTTGATAAATCTTTAAAGATTTATCAAGTTTCGCCCAAGATCTTTCAAGAACTTGTGCAAATTTATCGAAATCTGTCAAGATTCTGAATGGAAGGCAATGCTGCAGATTTTCCACAAGTTTTGCATCAGAACCTGTCTTGATAAATTCTAGACAGAAACAAGATATTTCAAGAATTCTGAAATGCTTAATCGATACACAATGATCAGAATCTTCATTAACAGATTTGGGAATTTGAAAGAAAATCTTAAACTTTATTTTCTACTTTATATTTTCATTTTTTTCTACTGTATCACTACAGTGCAAGCTCTACAGTACTATGCATACAGTACCAGAGCTGTTGAAAGTGCAAGAGCATACACAACCACAATGTTTGAATTCCACTTTCAAAATTTTCAATGTCCTGTAGTGTGAGTATTTATTCTTATATATGCAAGGTCAAACAAAATGGTGATTGAAAGAATGACATATTTATTTGTCTACCCTATTGACCAACAGAATTTTAGGAGAAGTTCTTTACACTGTAGTGCTACAATAACTATAAATAAATGCAAAGTTGGCATATTTACATTTTTGTCGAACCTCTGAGTTATGTCGTAATCAAAATGATTGCTAACTTTCTTTGTTAGCAAAGATTTTGTTAATTACAGAAAAGTTTTCAAATCTTGTCACGATCTTGATCAAGATTTTTGCAGGCAGATTTCTTAAAAAACTTGTCAAAATCTTGACAAGAATTGTTGAACATTCTTTGAGATCACGAAACTTGACAGATCTTGTACAGATATAAACTTTCTGCAGGACATGGAGTTATTGTAGAATAAAAAAACCTTGAATTAATCCTGATCTTCTACAAAAACCGAAAAAAATCACCAGTTTGAGAGATTTTATCGCGATATAATCTCAGAATTATTCGGCATGATAAATCGCGCAAAATCGAAACTTTTCATGCGATTTTCATCACATGGCAATTCAACAGGGACAATAAGGCACTCGTATGGATGTCGGCCGCCACTTATCGTCGAGATTTGGACAGTTTATCTTCGTTTTGTGTACTCATTATTAATATTTCAAGAGATCTGCAGAATTACTTACACAAAAACGGCTTACCCTTTCACAAAAAACAACTGAAAAATGCTAAAATTTGATCCAGAAATTACGTGAGAATGAGATCTGCAGAAAGGTATTATGTGGAAAATTGATTCTGAGGTAATCATAGTTTTCTGACTATGAAGAAATAACTGCAGAAATAAAATAAGTAGGTAAATAAAATCAACCAACCAATGTAGTTTTTTCAGACACCATTTTGCTCTTTCATTCTACAGAGGCTCTTGATCACGGTTCACGCTGATTGCGACTAATAAAAACATCTTTTAGTCATGATTAGCTTAATTATGATTAACGAGTTAATCGCGATTAAGGTCGCGGTTGCACTGCAAGTTAATCATAATTAAGCTAATCGCGATCAGAGATAATCCTGGGTAGTCGCAATGCTTTTATCAGACAATGAACAAAAGAACCCGAAAAGGAATTTTCTATGTTTACACATAAGAAAAATGTGGATTTGAATGACTGTATAAAAAAGGAAAAGAATCACTATTCATAGTGGCAAAGTGTCAACACTTTTCTTTGAAAGAATCTGAAAAGGAATTTTCCATGTTTGCACATAAATGAAAGAGTGATGCCGATTTTAATGACTGCACCATTTATTGAGAATGTTAGATCGATTTACATCATTAATAAAAACTTTAAAATTGTATTATGTGTGATAATGCTGTGGATTATTATGAACGTTTAAAGCACGTTATAATGATGGAAGAACACAACATACACTGTCAGGAGATAAATTAAATAATATGAAATTTATTGTCGACAAATTTCATCATAGAAACGATAAAAGATCGGAATGTTTAACAACAACGAATCCATATCATACAATGAATAATAAATTTTATAATATCAACACTGAAGCATGCGAGCAACTTAATTCAATATAGTCATATAGTCTTTCTGTTCCTATACTATGTATTTCTTTTATTGTGTAACATAATAATATAGCATATACTGATACACATAGGGCAAACAAATCAACAAGAAAGGAGTAACATACCGCTGAGATATGTTTAAGTTAACTTGGTAAAATGATAAGTTGCATTAAGGGAGTCCCCTCAAGAATTCGATTTTGTCATCGAAACTACTAAATTAAACTATACATATGACTGATTAGTCCAAACACGCAAGAGCTTAAAAAATTGAAGAACAGGCGTTCTGACCCATATGAATTTTGAATACGCGATTCAGACCACGTACTGGGGTTGATTTATTTACATTCTACTTGTTCTCTCGTGGAAGAGTACGGGGAGTATTTTTAGCCGTTCACTTACACGACGTATGACCACCCGTTCTCTTGTGAAAAAGTACGGGGAACATTTTTAAACGTTCACTTACACCGGGTATAACTACCTGTTCTGCATCGAAGAAATACGGGGCCAAGGAAAAAATGCCTTCAAAGCGCCGTGTGATGACCTGTTCCATTTTTAGACTCACCGAGATGCAACATTAACTTATATCGGTATTCCTAGGTTAGAAAGGTCTCCAAGAGATCTTTAGAAACTTTGCGGGGGCTACGCATTTTTGACGTTGATTAGGTGCAAAATCACTGAAAAGTCATATTCATGGTACCTGATCATCTGCAGAGAGTCTTCAAAAACTTTTCGGTTTCGAAGCACTTTTGGACTGTCTTAGTTATATGCTAGTATACGTTGAGTTACTATCATTCATCGCTATTTTTTCGAGATACTTGTTGATTGCTTCTCCTTTGACATTCGATGCAACATGTTTTACTCGGTCTTTTCTTCGAGAACATGGTGCATTTAGATCAATTAGAGTCAAATGCGTTTTGTTTCCGACTCTGTCTCCAAAGTGTATAAACAAAATAGAGACTAAATTATCATTAACAAAAAATGAGTATAGAAACAAAAATAAAGAAAGCCAGTGATTCATTCATTATCTGACTTCATTGAGTTAAGGGTACACTTCCTTCACTTCTTTTTTCACCTTGCTGCCAAATGCGAAACACACGTTCGATTGAGCTCAAAATTATAGCAGAGATAGAACATTGAAAACAAAAATCTATAAAGGATTCTATAAACAGCTCCAAGATGGGTGCAAATTTGATCTGTACCATGGATGACGACAACGCATTTGTTTCCTTATAACTTACATTAAAATTATGTGATATATTTTACCTGAAATTATGGTTTCTTCCGTCACCACTGCCTTATTGCAATGTACGGTGTGATATGTTATTCCTGCCAATAACGTTTTGTTCGGAAACTGAAAATCTTCTTCTCTCCTTAAAACTCAAATCTTTCTTATTTTATTTGTGTTCTTCTCATAGACATCGGACGGCAAATGACAACTACTATGATAAGCTGACAGATCTCTTACTAAAATCGTTTGTCTTTTTTATAGACAATGTGAATGATGCTTTAAGTATATTAAAAGATGTTTTTAACAATGCTAATGACGCTTTTCACTTGGATGACTATCCGATTTTAACCTTAAAAATTAGCAGAGCCAAAAAGTATATTTAATCTTTTATGGTTATCACTTAGTTCTGAATATAGCCCATATACCGAAACAAAATTTGATACTCAAGAAAGTGCAACGTGCATTTTTTGCGCAACAATATTCAAGGGAATTCTATATATTAAAAATCACCGAATTTAGAATCATTTTGCTCTTCTTCTTCTTCTTCATCATCATTTGACGTTATCCTTCTTCGCTTCTCATAATAAAGGGTAAGCGGTATTTTCTTTACCGGCGAGCTTCTTCGGTGATGGCTGTCATGAGGACGGACTGTAGGTATTTTTCTGCTTTCTTTTCCAGAGACATCATTAATAGCACCAAGATTTTTGAACACGGACGAACAACTTGCCGGCATTCTCATGCTAAAAGGTGTTTCGCCCACACTGTTTGCTGTTCTCTTAGGAAAATTCATTTCCATTTTATATTTATCAAATGAGTGACAAGAAAATTGTTTAATGACATGTTTAAAGTCATTTCTCTTACCTATAAACAGAGAAACAGAACACTGAACAATTTTGGCATAAAACTAGTAGTCGCATATACCTGTTTCATTTTGCGTACTAGGAGAATGAGCGCGCCGTGCAGGTGGTGACTGCAACCGAAAACACCGTCTTTTTTTCTATTGATTTTGATTGATGTGAATTTTGTAACTGAAATTGATTACCAGTTACTGTACAAATACGATTGTATAACTGAGCTGCTTTTTTTTCCATATTTTTTATATGATAAAAATCAACCATAATAAACCAGCTGTTATGAAACCTGAAGGAAGAAATAAAAAGAACAAATTCTAAAATAGGTTCATATACAAAATGCTAGCTCTTCAGCTAGATGTTGCCGTTCCTTGGAAGAATATGTACGGAATCTATTACCTAACCAACTTGTCGGATTCCAGCTCTCCTCTAACTTCAATGGTATAATTGGTATATTACATTGTTTTGCATATTGCAGTTCTTGCTTACAAAAATCAGACGCTTAATATTCCGGTGTCATAAAACATATGAAACAAACAGAATTTTCAATTGCTTCGCCAATACTAAATAAAATAAAGTAATACCGAACAACAATGTTTTGAGTGGTATTTAGCTTCCTTATTACCCTTCGTATAAATTAGCTGATGTTATACCAGCTTTAACATCCATCCATATTGGTATTTGTTTTTCAACTAAATAATCGTAAATTGATAAGACTAATTTTTGTATTTTCCATTCATAGGATAGCATAACATGTTGCTTTTTCTGCTGTTGCGACATGTTTTGCGTTTGCTTTCTAAAAAAATTAAAATATATATTTTTCTGCGTTGTTTCGAACGGGAAGGAAAAAAAGAACCAATTTTTTTCCGTTTCCATCTCTTTGTTTTTTTGACGTTTTCTAAGTGGAAATATAATATCATAGAATGTACATTTTCAAGTGATGACTAAACAGTTCGTGAATAATTTCAAAACTGACTTTAAATTAGTGTAAATTTTAGCTCCTGCAAAGAAGAATTTATTATAACAATACATATGATAAAAACAGCTTTTGAAACGCACAACTTGATTGATTGCTATTAATATATTACAGTATCAATCGTATAAAGATGCGTTCGTTAAAGTCTGACGGATATCTGTTTTGTTGGAATACGTTCGACTCTTTTAGCGAAATTCATCCTTCTGGCTCATACTTGTTGAATGTGGCCCCGGAAGCCGTCTTAGTATTTAAATGGGATTTTCTTTTTTATTGATCACTAACACTCTT